GACTCTGAACCACATTATTTTATTAAACTGCTGTGTGTGTCCTCATAAGGCGCATTCGGACTGTAGGAACCTTCTGTAGTTCCTAGGACCTTTCCAGCCCCCTTTTGCGCGCGTTGGACAGTAGGAACTGGGAACCTTTTACCGTAGTTCCTAGAACCATTTTAGCTCCTACTCTGAGGCTGGGACTTTCTGTGCTTCCTACGGAACTAACGTGACGTCGGCGCTTAGTGAGCCACACCCCTTGCTTGATTTCTGCATCTTTTCTGTTCCGAATCATGTTTGTTTATTTAGAAACAGACGGGACTACATCCCGGATACTCCTGCTGCCGCTAGCACACCTCGCCAAAACTGAACAGGTAAATAAAACAGTCTGAAGGCATTAGAAAGTGTGGTACCACTTTACAATAAGGCTCCCTTATAAATGGCTAATAAATGGTTTGTAAATGTCTTATTAATCAATCTATAATGCCTTATATATGACTAATAAACATTTATTATGCATTAATTAAGGGTGAAAAAGACACTAAACTTACTAGTTTCTTGCCAAATAGTGAACCAAATCTGTTGACTTATGTACTTTATCTAGACTTCATATATTAAACATTTCAAACTAAGAAACTACCTTTTAAGCACTATTAGCATTTGTAAACAAGGTTTTGGGCAACTAATAATGTACCTTATAACTGCATTATAAATACAATGATTAAAGGGAGGCTTATTGTAAAGTGTAAAATATGTCTTTATTCATTAATAGTTAATAAACATTTATAAATACAAACTGGAGCCTTATTGTAAAGTGTAAAACATGTCTTTATTTATTAATGATTAATAAACATTTATAAATACAAACTGGAGCCTTATTGTAAAGTGTAAAACATGTCTTTATTTATTAATGATTAATAAACATTTATAAATACAAACTGGAGCCTTATTGTAAAGTGTAAAATATGTCTTTATTTATTAATAGTTAATAAACATTTATAATTACAAAAGGGAGCCTTATTGTAAAGTATAAAACATGTCTTTATTTATTAATGATTAATAAACATTTATAAATACAAACTGGAGCCTTATTGTAAAGTGTAAAATATGTCTTTATTTATTAATAGTTAATAAACATTTATAATTACAAAAGGGAGCCTTATTGTAAAGTATAAAACATGTCTTTATTTATTAATGATTAATAAACATTTATAAATCCAAACTGGAGCCTTATTGTAAAGTGTAAAACATGTCTTTATTTATTAATGATTAATAAACATTTATAAATACAAACTGGAGCCTTATTGTAAAGTGTAAAATATGTCTTTATTTATTAATAGTTAATAAACATTTATAATTACAAAAGGGAGCCTTATTGTAAAGTATAAAACATGTCTTTATTTATTAATGATTAATAAACATTTATAAATACAAACTGGAGCCTTATTGTAAAGTGTAAAATATGTCTTTATTTATTAATAGTTAATAAACATTTATAATTACAAAAGGGAGCCTTATTGTAAAGTATAAAACATGTCTTTATTTATTAATGATTAATAAACATTTATAAATACAAACTGGAGCCTTATTGTAAAGTGTAAAATATGTCTTTATTTATTAATAGTTAATAAACATTTATAATTACAAAAGGGAGCCTTATTGTAAAGTATAAAACATATCAGTGTTTATTAATGACTCTTAAACATTTTTAAATGTAAAATGAAACTTTTTTAGTATGAAACTAGTTAACATTTATTTATAACCAGTAAACTTTTTGAAGACTAGGGGCCTTACTATGAAAAGTATAACAAGCTGCCTTAAAACATTAGACAATACTCTATCTTAACATGTGCAGTTGTTTTGGTTACACTTAGGACACACAAAACCTTCTAAACAAAAATGACAAGAAAAATCTTTGTTGTGTGGAAACTGAACACATAACTGAACAGATCGTTAAAAAATTACCAGTTTCACACACATTTGTTCTATAGCTAAATATGCTGAAACAGAACAAGTCAGATAACTGAGTAGGCTTTCAGACAGACTTGCCTCTTCGAATTGGAAGCAAAGATCCATCAGCCTTCATGCTTTCTATTTTGTTTTTCACTTCATCATTGCTTTGAATCTCTTCCTCACATCGCTTAGCAAAATGGAGTACCGTCTCTCCACTGGGCTTGTTGGAGATCAGCTCCTGGTAAACAAGAGGAGCTGCGATAGCGAGCTCAGCAACTGATGCCGTGGACACAACTGTGTTTCTGTCAATCCCATGCTTCTGAAAAGCTTTGGACAAGGTCTTCATCTTTGGAAATGTCTTGAGGAGGGACTTGTATCTCTGCACAATCTCACTTGGTGTTCGGACTGAGAATCAAATTAAAACTAAGAAAACTGTTAGAAACAAATGCTCATGGCACACAATACAATCTGTTACTATAATTTACACACACACATGCATATACGTGTGTGTGTATGCATTTCTAAAAATGCGCATCAGTCCAAACCTTATATTCAAGTTTGGTGTCAAATACAATGTAGTTTGAAGAAAATGTTTAAATGGTAATTTTATCTCCAAAGAACATATCTTCTAGCCTGGCCTGCCAGACTAGACTTCTGCACACAGAGTCTGGTAACTCACAGGCAGAGAGGCACATGAGGGGCGGGATTAGCCAGCTCAAAAATGACCAATCAAAAAAAAAAAAAAGTGGAAATGCCAACTGTACCATGTGACGCAGTAGTTTTTTTAGCTGTAGTAAAAAATGGAGCCTGGTAATGGCGCAAACATCTTTCTTTAGAAGAAAGATTTTTAGCGGTTCTTGTTGTGGTTTCAAAGACATGTCCAAGTCATTTACAACAGAGGAAAGAGCCGCGGTGAACTCCGCTTCAGACATAATTGTTTATGAGAATTTGAGCTTCACTGTGTGTGTGACATACGCTGCTCAGTGATGATTGGTTTGGTTAGCATTTTCATTTGGGTGGGGTTATTTACATAGGAGAGTTACCAGACTCTTTCTCTGTGCAGAATTCAACAGAGGAGGAGTCTGGCAGGCCAGGCTACAGATCTTCTGAATATAAGTATTTTGCTCACCACGCTGCCGGAACTTCTTTTCCTCCTTCTTGTATTTCTTGGCTTTTGAATGCTTGTTTTTGAATTTGCGCTTTTGCTTCTTTGGGGGTGAAGATGAGGATGAGGATGACCACTCAGATGATGCAGATGAAGATGTGGAAGATGAATCCAAGTTTTCAGAAGGATTGTTGATAAACGTATCATTTAATGGTTCGTCTTTAGGTTGCGCTGCAGAAAAAAATGGATGAATTTAGAATTTTTTTTAACACATATCAGGTAACACAGAGTGAAACAAACATGCAAAGTAGCTGCCAATTTCATTTCATTACACAATGGATGATTTTGTCAGCTTATGTGCTTTGACAGAATGAGAATGATGCACCCTTCTGAGTGAAATAATATACATGTGGCTGGGCAAATCTAATTTTTGTAGACTATAGAATAATAAAACAGTATAATGACTGAGTGTTGTTGTCCAATACAACATTAAATGTCAATAATTGGCAGTAATTACCTATTACCGTGGTGTTTAAAGGAGAAAAAGGGGAAAACTAAGTTGCTGGTACTAAGAGATAAAGTGGCACAACTACAAACCATCTAAATGAACACTTTGATGTCGAAATGTGTATTTTAAATTAATTATTAAAGTATGTAAATGAAAATGTATTTATTCGTGAGAGCACAGACAACTGTAAGAAAACAGATAATAAACAGATAATAGGTAATGGCATAATACATGCCAATTAATTAATCAATAGGTTTAAACCCAATTAGAACAAGTTATTTTTAAGAGTTAACTGGCATAACACCAAAGAGTAACTATTTTTTTATCAACACAGTGACAATAAGGGATCTTCATGTATATTTATAAATTATCTGATTTTTATCACAATAATCTAAAATTAAACAATGTTTATGAAACTATTTTAATGTCATACTTGACAGAGATGATAGCTGACTTCGGAGGAAATCCCTCTCTCCTTCCAGTTCTTCAATTCTCATCTTTTGCCACTCCAGCTTCTCCTTAAGAAAAGCAACTTCCTGTCTCTCCTTATGAAGAAGCACAGTTGCAGTAGGGGCAAGGCCAGAAGAAGTATCTAAAAAAAACAAAATTTAGACACACATTAACAACAGTAGCAGAATCTCTAATCTAAACTAGGCAAACTAAATGACAGCAGAAACAAAAATATCTATTTTAAATGGTAACAATACAAATGTAAAAAAAGTTCTGACACAAACACCTGTTGTAGAGCAGACACTTCCAGAACAAAATAAATTATTCCTCCATGTTACCACACTGGGGTTATTCATAATGATATAAATGTATATACATAAACTATTAAAAAATATAAAACTTTGTGAGGTTTCACTTTCGTAATAATTAATAGTACCAGAGATAGCTAGGCACTGTAGCAGCCAAATGGTTCATTGTTAGCATTAAAACATTCCTCACCATCACGTTTCTCTGTTGACAGCGTTGGTTTAGTGTTAACGTTATCCAGTCGCTGCTTTTTGTTTTTCTTTGAACGCGTGCTGACCGCAGGTGTCGCAGTGGAACAGGAATCTTTCTCTTCAGGTCCATCCATGGCGCTGCCGTAGCTAGCTAGCTTGACTGGTGGACCCACCCGAGCTCCGACGCACACCGATGGGAGGGACTTCCGTATTAAGATTTACTGTGATTGGATGTTTGCACTAAGCTCATCTCTGTATGGCTAATTTTCGTTTTATTCCCTTTGGCGCGACGATGGCTAGTTTTCATATGCAACCTAAAAATCCAGCGGGAAACGCTTCATAACTGAGTCCAAGGCACTATAAGAGGTGAGCAAATTGTTTTATTTTTTGTATGCAGGGCTGTTCTTTTAATTATAAGTCAGTTTTAAATATTACTTTAGCTGATGAAGAAAAATCATTTTTAAGAATGAAAATGTTTTATGTAAATGTAGCATGTTTTGTATTAACTTAACTAAATATTCTTGTTCCTGTTGTGTTAGCCATTTTTACATTTTTCTTTGAAAATTATCAGCATTTACAAGTTCTCTTGCAGGGAAGAGTAGTCATAAATAATGATAATTAACATATTTATTAAAAACCCATTTATCTTTCTTTTTTTGGTCATTCTTAGTAAGTCAACATAATTATAAATTCAGGTTTTTATTTAGCAAGTGTTACTTCCTGTTGAGCTGTGTATTGTAAAAAGAAAAAAAAAAACAACACAAATAGATTGCAGAGGCAATACAGTTTGTAACTGTATGTGCTGTGTTTTTTAAGTAAGTAAAATAAACTGGAACTAGAAATGTTTATATCTTGATTTTTTTGTGTGTGTTGAATTTTTTGGTCAAATTAATGGTTTTACATTTTTCCTTGACTTTTCAAAGAATGCTTCAAGAATTATACAAAGACTTGATCTGTTGCTATATCAGTGACCTTTTTTACCTATGACATTCTGAAGATACCAGTATTTCAATGTAATAATATAATTAAATAAATCTATAATTTTTCCTACTAGAATGCCTCTTGGGATGAAGTTGTGCACTCATACAGAGGGAAAACAAACTAAAAAGAAGACTCTGAGGCTGATTAAATGGCTGCAAAAGAAACACCTTCTAAAGAAGAAGCTGAGATGCCCTGTTTGCCACCATAAGATGAAAATGATATCTGTGGTGAAGAAAGACCTATTTATGTGGTATGAATGCATGATAATGTAGAACATTTAACATCACATTCTGATATTAAAGGCAGGGTACGTAAGTTGGAATTGTTAAAATAATTTTGACCATCTGACCTTGTTCTATGAGAAAAAGTGTGATCTTTCATATTTTATTTTTCTCCTAAGTCCCTCCCCTGGCTTTACAGCTAAACTAATAATTTCTGCAAGCCTACCACACTGGCTAATAGCACTGCATTTCAGATGTTCTCTCACTTGACTCGGCTTTCCCTGCATGTGCACGTTAGGAGGCGTGGCTTTCGGCTCATTCAGGAAGGTCGGGGATAGAGCAACAGCCCTTCAAATTTTAAAAGCAAGACACAGTGCTAACTTTATCTCAATATTTATTTATTTTTTAATATAATTTTGTGATAATGTTTATAGGTTCATTTATTTACCTCACTTTTTGGTTTGTTCTCAGGTGCTGCAAAAGAGCAAGTCATAGAAAAGTCTCCAGAACAATTAGAACTGGCTCCCTCTTTGAGAAATCAAAATCTTCTCTTTTCAGTTGGATGAAGTTCATCTACAGGTAGCCTGTGTGTATAAATGTCAACAGGAATAGCAGTTAATAATAGGGCCTCAGTGAGTTTTGATTGGTTTTCATTTCTGTCGCAGATTTTCACAAGGGCTCAGGCTCAGGCAGATAGATATGATTGATGATGATGTGGCTGGCAGCTCCAAAACATTAAGTGCCATGGCAAAGCGTATTCGACAAGTCTGCATCAGTGCAATGGAAAGACACGGAGTAAATAAAGGGCACTGTCTTGGTGGTCACAAAGAATTTGTGGTTATGGATGAAAGCTGTCTCCGTCATCAGCGAAAGGTTGTAAACTCTCAGACCCCTTTGTTATTATCAGTCCAGATCTGAACATGTCCCCTAAACATATAAGTTTTAAGTTTTTACCATTACATTTAAGAATCAATATAGTAAAACTGTTACAACCAAACAAAAACAATCTGTTAATAAACATATTATTATATCAATTACTATGATGATTTGAATCACTTGAGTCAGAATTTAACAAAATTAAAGTTTGTAAAAGTAGTCAATTAATCCATAAAGGAAATGAATGACAGAAAACAGCTTTTTTATTCAACATCTTTGTCATGCTGTTAATAAAGTTAAAATACAATTTACTTTAATAACAGCAATACAATTAAAATGTTAAGATGCAAACTGCATTTAAGAATATACTTTGTAAATATTCTGTTTAACCTTAATCTTTTTTTATTTTCAGTATGCACGTGGACGCTTAAATGCTTGGAAAAGAAAGAAATGGGTCTTTGGATTGATGGGAGTGAAAGACAAAAGGCGAAGGCTCGTGTTAAAACTTGTAGAGAAACGAACAAGGCGTCACCTTGTTCCTCTGATCAGACAGCATGTTAAGTCGGGAAGTGCCATTATCAGTGATGAGTGGAGAGCCTACAAGAATGTCTTGACAAACATGGGGTACAAACATTACACAGTAAATCACAGCAGGTGGTTTGTTGATCCTCACTCGGGCAGTCATCCACAACATATTGAAAGAGCTTGGATGACAATTAAAGGACATATTCGCAGACTAAGAGGAAATCGTACAGAGATGTTGTTGGAGGAACATCTTAAAGTTCTCGAATGGTCATCTTGGCTTGGTTCAAAACATCCTGATGGACCACTGGGACGCTTATTCAAGGACATATGGAAATCATTCCCAGTTTAACCTGAATCTCTTCTACAACAGTTTTTTTTAGGGACGGGGTATTTGGTGTGTTTGATGAGTTTGGATGTTAAATGTGCTACACTTACAATACATGACCATTTTTGACAGTAGTTAACATAGTTTGTACAAATATTTTAAGCATTTAGTGTAACTCTGAAGTTTAACAAATTTAAACATTTAAGACTAATTTTTGGTATTTATAAATGTTTGTTAGTCATTAATAAATAAAGATATGTTTTATACTTTACAATAAGGCTCCAGTTTGTATTTACAAATGTTTATTAATCATTAATAAATAAAAATATGCTTTGCACTTTATAATTAAGGCTCCCTTTTGTATTTATAAATGTTTATTAATCATTAATAAATAAAGACATGTTTTACACTTTACAATAAGGCTCCAGTTTGTATTTATAAATGTTTATTAATCATTAATAATCATTAATAAATAAAGACATGTTTTACACTTTATAAGAAGGCTCCAGTTTGTATTTATAAATGTTAACTAATCATTAATAAATAAAGACATGTTTTACACTTTACAATAGCGCTCCCTTTAATCATTGTAAGTATTTATAATGCAGTTATAAGGTACATTAATTATTTGCCCAAAACTGTGTTTACAAATGCTAATAGTGCTTAAAAGATAGGTTCTTAGTTTGAAATGTTTAATATATGAAGTCTAGATAAAGTACATAAGTCAACAGATTTGGTTCACTATTTGGCAAAAAACTAGTAGGTTTAGTCTCTTTCTCACCCTTAATTAATGCATAATAAACATTAATTAGTCATATATAAGGCATTATAGATGGATTAATAATACATTTATAAACCATTTATTAGCCATTTATAAGGGAGCCTTATTGTAAAGTGGTACCGAAAGGGTTTTGTTTCTTCTCTTGAAATGACCAGAGCCGGATTTAATAAATGGACTACACTAGGCAGGCTGCATTTTTGCCCCCCCCCCCACCACCACCCCCCCCCCACCCCACCCCCCCATCAATGTTATTTTATGAAATGAAATCTGAAACTTACCAAAGTTACTAATAAAAGTTCATTCACATTTTACATAGCCTAGTCTTTGGATACAAATTGATTGTTTGTATGCCAGAATAAGTCATGTGTTGTATGTTAAACATTTTATCAGACTATTTTTTGATATTAATGATTTCTACGTCATTACACAGCTGTATTAAATGTTAATAAATTATCCTAATCTTATCCATTGGGGATGTCATTGTTAAGGCGGTAGTACCATTAAATAACCACTAGGTGTCATTAAACTATGTAAACAGAGCAAATATGCTTCTCTTATTTGCTCGGTTTACATTTAATCAACACATTTAATAAAAAGATGTTCTGCTAAATACAATAGCTTACAGCATTTTTAAATGTTGACAAATTAATCACATGATGGTGGAAAGAATAAATAGATGAATTTGAATGGACTGAAGCATGTTTTAAAGGTGCAAAAACAAACTATAAACACGCAGCTTAAATTATTACAGTATAAATTTAATACAATCTATAATCTTACAGGAAAGTATTTTAATGAAATGAAAACATTATCTTAAGTTTTGATCTTGCTTTATGCTCATTCAGGCTGTTTTTGCCTCTGCTGAAACAGAAATTCTGTGTCAATTTTCTGAGTGTGAACTTATTGTTTGTTATGCTATTTGAACATTAATAAAACATATTAGAAAAATAATTAATAAAACCAGCAACACTTACCAAGGAAACCATTTAGCATGCTCCACTCCGGGATAATCTTCAGCCTTCCAGCATCACAGGCCTCAGTCACAGCAGAAACACGTCTAAAGAAATGTTCCTTGGTTACGTTTCGGTTTATGTCTCCAGATTTCCTCTGTGATGCAGAGAAATATCCAGTATTTTGAGAGGGATGGTTTAGTGCAAAGTACTCACGCATCCTGTCATCAGTTTGGCACCACTTTGCAGGATCAGATGGGTAGCTTGCTAACACCCTTTCTAGGTCTAGAGGCTCCTGCTGACAGCCTCTGCAGACCCTTGCAGCAGGCTGCTGTAAGACTATATTGGGCTCACTTCTGGCTGGCTGCTGTTCTTCCAGTTCGTCCTTCTGTGACGGCGTTGATGTTGACGGCGTTGGCGCTACAGCGTCTTCCGCCACATCTTCCACCTCGTCTTTGGGCTGTGTCTCCTCCGGGTCTGGCTCTGCTGACTCGAGCAGGTTCACAGCTGTCGGACGGCTGCCCGAGCAGCTCGACAGAAACTTCTGTAAAGCCCCCCGCTGTCTCTTCTTTTGTTCCTCTTCATTTTTTTTTTAAAGTTTTGCCGCACCCGAAAGCATCGTGAAAGTTAGCCTACTCAAAAACACCTGCTAGCTTTGTTGAGTCCCGCTCTGACTGACCGCTTCTCTGACGTCCTTAATTGGGTGGCGCCCAAGTTGTAGGCTACAGTCAAGGGCTGGCATTAATGTGACGTAGCTGATGTAACAGTCTGTGGTTAAGATAAATATTGTCACTATTTTTAGTTAATTAATAAATATTGAAATAAACTGTAGATAGGAGTTCAATCTACAAATTCTGTCATAGGACATTTGTACATTTTATTTTAATTTATTTATTTTGAATTGTGTCCCTCTGTCTGGGCCCCATCCAGCCAATCAGGCCCTAGGCACGTGCCTACTTTTGCCTTTGCGTTAATCCGGCTCTGGATATGACGGAAGGAAATTGTCCATTTTGGGATTAAATCACAGAGCGAAAGCCGCCGAGAGCGAGCATGCTTGTGTGACAGATGACTGTTTGTTCTCTATGAGCGCTGCACTCCTCCTCCCCGCGTGATTATGCCGGCTCCTTAAAAGCCCCGATTGTGTCCAGCTGCGCGAGAGGAAAAATGGAGGTCAAAAGTAGTGATATCAGATAAAGTAGAGGAAATGGGAGAAGTATTTAGAAGTGTGATAATTGAGGCTGCAGAGTTTGCAATACCAAAAACTAAAGTAAACACAAGGGAGAGAAAGAATGTACCTTGGTGGTCTGAAGTCTGCGAGAAAGCAAT